TCTTACCATACTAGTATATTTCTAAGTGCCGCAGAGATTCTTGTTTCTTATACCTCGAAACAAGAATCAGTGCATCTGAAATCATGTTTCTCGAGAATGTCTCCAATTATAAGTAATGTGTTAATTGTTAAGTTCATTTTTGTCAAATTTTATCTATCATCTTGTTTACACCCTTATTTTTCACTTTCCAGTTGAAGATTACCTTGGTCAATTACAATGAAAAAGTACTACGACATTTCAGTAAAAAATCTTGGGACACATGGCAGCCAAGTAAGCAAGCGGTTACAAGTGGTTACATGCAAATTCATGGGACACATGGTAACATAGGAAATAAGCGGTTACAAGTGGTTACATGTAAAATCATGGGACACATGGTAGTCTAGGAAGTGAGTGGGGTTACAAGCGGTTACATACAAAGTCATGGCAGCCTAGGAATTTGGTCGATTTCAATGAAAAGGTACTACGACATTCCAGTGGAAAGTCTTGGAACACATGGCAGCCAAGAAAGAAAGCAGTTACAAGTGGTAACATGCAAAGTCATGGGACACATGACAGCTTAGGAAGTGATCGGTTACAAGTTGTTACATGCAGAGTCATGGGACACATCCTAGGAAGTGAGCGGTTACATACAAAGTCATGAGGCATATGACAGCCTAGAAAGCTGGTTGATTCTAATGGAAAGATAGTACAACATTCCAGTGGAAAGTCTTGGGACACGTGGCAGCCAATAAAGCAAGCGGTTACATGCAAATTCATGGGACACATGGCAGCTTAGGAAGCAAGGGGTTACATGAAAGGTACCATTACTAAATTTTATAAATATGGCATGATATTGTAACTTAGAAAGTCTACTCAACGCCAAACAAAACATGCATTTCAATACAATCTTTATTTTCATTACAATACACTTTCAATATGATTAGTCTTAGTCCTGCACTTTACTTTTTATTAGATAATTTTATAGTCTTTTCAATTACTTTCTCAAGTAGTTCGTTCCTTCTTAGCCAGTTAACTATTCCGAAATCCTTTATCAAAGGCAAAAAGAACTCTAAGGTGTTTATTCCAGACCTCATCACAATCGCCTGATTTCGTAATCTTTCTTCTGGAATATTATTTGGATCTCTCTATGGAACTACTGCAGTTCCTGGCACGCCCATCCGATTCTATCGGAACCAACCGCTTCTTACAGGCCAAAGACATCTATACATATTTTATTGATACGAATTGACTTTTCATTTATTTCCTTTGATTCTAATGTTATTTGAAATATCTGTTGCTGACGAACGTTTGATTGTGTTGATCGGCTTACTAGCTAAACTAGCAACCCCAGTCCTATTTATGGATATACCAGTAAGGGCAATCCTCTTTGTTCTTATAGGTATCAATGATATATATATATATATATATATATATATATATATATATATATATATATGCTTTATAGTTTGTTTTTGTTAGCACCCCACCGAGTTTTCCATTGATTTGTGTTGTAACTCTGGTTTTTCCAGTGACAAAGTCAGTCGGAAGAGAGAGAGTGTTTATAAATTTTCAATATTAAATTAATATTGTGAGTTAGTTATGTTACGATTTACTTAGGAAAAATATAGGGGTAATTACAATGAAATCCCCTGAGGTTTATCCTTAACGGTTTTTTAAACAATAACACCCATCAAGCTTAATAAAGTTAACGAATACACCCCTGCTATATCTTACAAAATCTAAAATGACGTTGTTGTTAGACATAATAAATACTTTAACAATAATTAACCTATTAGGATTCAACTTTAATGCACAAAAACACAATAAGTTATAAAATTTAGAAGTGGTACATATTTTACCTTGATCCATTATGAGTAAGAGATTTTGAGCCTTAGTTATTAATGTTGACTAAACTTTAAACTGAGCCAAAAGCTAGGTTCCGTCTATTATGAATAACCAATGTAAAATTATAAGATCTTCAAACCATTTCTCTCTTTATAGTTAATGGGTACTAATTGTGGTGTTTCATTTCACAATTCACGTTACGAGAGAGTATAGTTTGGGAACCTTTTATATAATATTAGTTCATTAAAGTTAGTCTTCGAGTCAAAGACTTTCATATTTTCATAAGAACACCAATAGTTACAAGAGACTTTATTAACTCTTTATTAATTTTAACTCTTCATTGTTCATTAAGTGAACAATAATTTTAAGAGTTACTAAAGAAATCACTTAATTCTTCATTAAGTGACCACTAACTCCAATTCCATTAGTAAAGTATTAATCACTTAATAAATAAAAGAGTATATATGTAAATCAAATTACGTTACAAGTGTATCTATATTTACACTTTTGGTTTTTCATATAGGTGCACTTAATATTGGATCACCTTTCAATTAATTTCTTAAAAACCCTCTTCATGAAAGTATCTAATGTATCATATGTATAATAATGTAAAAGCCACATTAAAGAGATAAATTTCTAACAGTTGTTACCTTTTGACTTTTCAATTGCCAGAATTTTTAATATTTTTAATTTAAAATAATAATAAATAAAACACAATACCATTTTAAGAACAAAAATACCCTCCACCCACCGACATTGCCTTTTTCCTCATATATATAAAGTACATATATATGTATAAATTATATATATGATAATATATATATATATATATATATATATATTAATATATATAAAGTACAGAAATATAGACACACGCATAAATAAATATATATATATATATACACCCATTTGACCTTAACTTCTTCAACTTTGATACTCTTTTTTTTTGCACTTGGAGAGGGAGCAGTTGCAATTGGAGGAAGAAAAAAGGAATTTTGGACTCAATTTATAGACAGGGCTACAATAGTCAAATTGTAAGGTCAGATATATATCAGAAAGTAAACTCACGCGCTACATCTGTTGCTGGAAAGGACTGTCACAGGTCAAATTGCACATTTTTGATAGTTGTAACAGTGACTTGCTCAATTTTGTAGTCCAAGAGAGTAAAATGCCGATTTTTGATAGTTGAGGATTTTCTTTTTTTTAATGCCATTTTTGCCTAATAAATTAGAAATCTTATTGTTCGCTTTATGTTGGTGTGAATATATATATATATTATATACTACTGGTGCAATGAGAGTGTCACTGCTCAATTCTCTATGCACAACTTTTTATTATTTCAATAAACAAATTAATTCATTATGATTTGAATGGCCTTCAGTTGCATTATATTGGCTTGGGCTTGGGGTATGAATATTCTTATTGTCAACCCCAAAAAAATATACCAACTTAGGTTTTTCTTTATTTTTGCAATCATGGTTTTGTTAATTTTTTTATAATGGCGTTTTAGATGATATATGTTTCTTTTTATGAAGTTTTTGTGGGCAATAATGGTTTTCTTTGTTGTGAATGCAGTGTGGAAATGAATCTTCAATCCTGACACTAGTGCCTAGTTGTTTCCACATATCTTGGCACCAACAACAAAGATTTAGCTTTTGAATTATTACTTGGTTGAATGTTTAATATGTTTATTTAATTAGGATCTTTTTTCTCTATTTCTATTTTAGGTAAATAGTTTTTCTCATTTTCTTTAAGAACTTGTGAATACGTTTTTAATATATATATATATATATTTCATTTTGCCAACAAAAAATAAAAGGGTAAATTACATTAATCTGAGATTTTGTTAACATACATTTATTTTATTTATTTTTTATTTTTTGTAAAAAAAATAAAAATCGTCTGGCTTTTAATTTGAATGACCTTTCTTACATATTTCGTTAGGATCATTGAGTGATATCCTCGGTAAGGTAAAGGTGCACTTATTAATTACAACTCAGATTGGAAAGGCCTCGACTTCCCTTGCGAGAAGTTAGTGTGGATGTGAAGATTTTTATCTTTCTACTAAATTGTTGGACACTCACTCTCTCTCACATAGAGAGGAAGAAAACATACACCCATAGATGAAGTCCACAATAGCTCAGTTAGAGATTCATCCCCACATCAGATTCGGATGTGAAATGATGTCAGACCGTTTATCACCGTTTGAGCCTTTTTAACTTTTTATCATCTTATAATTAGAGATTCATCCCCATATCAGATTCGGATCCATCAATGGTGCTTGAACTCCTTGCTGCAGCTTTCTGGGTTATGGTGGGAGTATCACAGTGCCAGCATAATCACTATTAAGTATAAACAAAATAACTGCACCTTTCATGTTTAGCTGCCAGTCTTAGATCGGTTACTAAGCTCAGCTTTTGGATTTTGGCTTAGTGTATCCCAGATTGATTAGTTTATGCACCAGCTTTTTCTCAGCATCTGCCTGAAAACCCCGATAAGGAAAAAAGAGGTCAAACCGTTTATCACCTTCACGCCAGGAACAAGAACATACAACATGCTAAATTGTGCATGGCATGATTGGTATTTTTTATAATTCAATTTGAAATTCTAGTTTTGATTATTCTTGACTCAAAAAAATTGAGTCTTATGTTGAGTTCTTTATTTTTTGTGTTATCACTCTCTTTTTCAAATTAATACTACAAAAATAGAACCATCTTATAGTGATACATCTTGTTTAAAGACTTACGTCTTAATGTATATATATACATCTTTCTTTCAAAAGTTAGCCCAGAACGTCATCACATTGTACAATTTTGTATTTTGTTGATTTTTGCATTGTATAGTCCATGGTGTAAAGCTCATACTGTTAGATGTTTAGCTACATGAAAGTTAGGAAGAAAAAAAAAAAAAACGCTATATGAAGTTTAGCTATATTATATATGTCATATAGCAAAAGATAAGCACAAAGAAATAGGAAATATCTGTATTATTTTAAAATTGTGATAAAAATTCTTTCTATCACTATTAATGAAAAATTGTGATAATAATTATATTTTTTACCATTTAAGTGGTCTTCTCCCCGCTCCTTTTATCATGGTTAATGAAAAACCGTGATAATAATTTATTCCATCACGGTACATAGGCATCTTGTTAGTAAAAGTGAATTTGGTTTTACTCGTACGTTTCTTAAAAGAAAAATAAAAAAAATAAATTTTATATACAAAAATATAAATACTCACGTACAGACCACCCACATACAATTTATACAATTTTAGGGCAAATCATTTCAGCCTCCCCAATCGTCTCCATGTCTATTCTCGTTCTCAACTCTGAACTTACCCTCTTTCTATCTCTGCAACTGCAAACTACAAAATCTACAAGAATCAGAACCCATATCGGCATATCATTTCAGATTGTTCAAAAAATCAAAACCCATACCCTTCAGTTTCCATCGCCCGCTGTTCCAGTTCGGGTTCGCCGTTCGCAAGCTTCAGCCTCTGTCCCGCTGTCTCTCAACTCTTAAGCCCTCTCTCTGCAACTGCTAACTTGTATGTATGAGTTATTTTTTTTTTTTTCTAAATCAATTAATCAAGGTCTGTAATTCTTGTTTTGCAAACTAAATCCTATTTGGTGAAATTTTTCTACGATTTTTTTATTTATTATTTTATGAATTTTAGTTATAAATGTTTGTGAAGATAATGACTGAAACAGGATCTCCCTTTGCAAGATTTGAAAGACTAATTGGTAAATTTGGGTTGAACTTGAGTCTTGAACAAGCTGAAGGCCCCTTATACAGGTAAGTCATTTCTTCAATTATTCAATATAAATATTTTTAGGGCAAATCATTTCAGCCTCCCCAATCGCCTCCATCTCTATTCTGGTTCTCGACTCTGAACTTGCCCTCTCTCTCTCTCTGTCTCTGCAACTGCAAACTACAAAATCTACAAGAATCAGAAGTTCAAAACCCATATAATTCAGTTTATGTATCTCTTCAGCCTCTGGCCCTCTGTCTATCAACTCTCAAGCCCCTCTCTCTGCGACTGCTAACTTTTATGTATGGGTTTTGTTTTAATTTTTTTTTTTTTTCTAAATCAATTAATCATGGTCTGTAATTCGTGTTTCGCAAACTAAATCCTATTTAGTGAAATTTTTTATGATCTTTTTTATTGTTTTATGAATTTTAGTTATAAATATTTGTGAAGATAATGACTGAAACAGGATCTCCCTTTTCAGGATTTGAAAGACTAATTGGCAAATTTGGGTTGAACTTGAGTCTTGAACAAGCTGAAGGCCCTTATACAGGTAAGTCATTTCTTCAATTATTCAATATAAATATTTTTAGTGCAAATCATTTCAGCCTCCCCAATCGAAAATAGATGTGATTTCTGTAACATACTTATCTGAATTTAAATGCCAAAGAAATCATATAATGAATATTTTGTGTGAAAGTGTAGATTTATTCATTCCTTTTTGTTGGGCAAGTTTGTGGCCTTAACTGGTGAAGCTGGCCGGATTAGCACTCAGAATACAAATTAACTAAAGGGATGGGTCAACTAACCAAACACAATAGTAATTGGAACTGACTAATAGTAATTAAACGGGTATCAATATAATACTAGTTATAATTTGTATGTAATTTTGTTCTTTAGAAACCGACTAATAGTAATTAAACGGGAAATATTATGATACTGCTTATAGTTTTTATGCAAATTCAGTTTCTTTGAAATACTATAGTATATTATATCTATATATAAATTAGTTCATTTTTCTCCCTTTTTCTTCTTACTATATGTGTGGTTGGTCATTCCAAGTGGTCGTCACCGTCTCTGGATGAATTTGGTTTTTTCATCTTATGAGTACTAGTTGTTTAACTTCTTCTTGATATGATCTGTTTTTCTCATATCTGTCTTTTACACCCAGGTTTTAAGTGCATGATGAATTTGGTTTTGTCATCTTATGAGTACTAGTTTTGGTGAATGAAGAACATAGGAATGAAGAAAATCTTAATGAACATGCAGATTTAATGAATGAAGATAGCAATGAGAATCAAGATGAAGATTTTAAGCAAAGTGCAAAGAGATGAACAGTGTGGAGAAACATATTCATATAGGGATGCTTGAACCAGAAACACATCTCAAATTGTAGTATTTATGATAAATTAGCATAGAGGGATTCCTAAATTAAAATTTACTAGAGTTTCAAGAAAATAAAAAATAATTCACTTACCAAAAAAGATTTGTCATCTTGATAATATATACACAACATTTTTTCCCCCTCTTTGCAGCTGATGGAGAGAACCCTGGGCAGTTTATTCCATGCACTACTGTGTGGTGGAAGAGTTTTAATCTTGTTTGCTTAATCCTCTTGCTGTAAAAGGTTTCTCGTCTTTCAACCTTGTACATTTTTTCCAGTTATAATACATTATATGGCTTTTTAGGTTTGTTTTTTAAGAAATTCTAAGCCAACTTCTGAAATTTGAAAGAAAATAGGCTATTATCCAATCAATCTTCATGAGAAAATAGATATTCTTAGAAAATTTAAATCCAGACGAATGTTTAAAAAAAGTTTGCATTTGTTTTTAATGTGCTTGGGAAAATTTTGAACCCAACACATGTACTTCTAAAAAATTCACACGCTTTTGAAGTTCTTAAGAGTTTAAATGAATAACACAATCGTTAGTCAAAGGAGCCATTATTCTTAAATTTCATCAAAATTAAACTTTGAGAAGGCAAAAATCATTTACAAATATAATTTGGTAGTATAACAGACGGATCTAAAAAATTAAAGAACCCAAGAAGGCAAAAATCTCTTTGAGTTTAGGAAATACCAAGGATCTAATCATTCTTTAAGAGAGATGCAGACCAAGCAGTCCTAGTTAAGAAACAGAGGTCCAGAAGAATTTCTATATTCACACTGAAGTTCTTTGGGATGGAAAAGGATTGCGGAATAATTCTGAGTGAACCAAATAGTATGAGAGAATTTAAAAAGAAAAAAAAATCTGGAAAAATCTAAATTCACTCTCCACACAGCATAAAAAGTGCCATGTACTAACCAACTGTAGGCTTCAAATGTTTTCATATATATACAAATACATGCCAACACTAACTTTAATTTAAAGCTTAACCACAATACACGAGCATGCAGAAACACAAATCGAAGTCCAAACCACATGTAGTATAAAATAAATTAAACTACGTTTGCTAACAACCAAGATATGATAATTTAAGCACTGCTCCCTACCAACAATAAAATGATACTTGTACATAAAATTAGAAAATATAAAATAAGACCTTATATCTTATATGTACACATAATTTTGTGTGTCTGGGTGGGTGAGGATGGGAGAATGAGTAGAAAATTACCTTTGTCTCTCCAAGAAATGGCATAGGCGTTCCGCCATATCCAAGTCCCTGTGAAGATTTAGAGGGATCATTGGCACCAGAATCCCCATTTGCTGCACGCACAGCAGTATTTGCTCGCAATTCCCAGGCTTGGAGTGCTCCAAAATCAGGAACAGTCAAATCTTTTACTCTGGTCTGTTTTTCTATTAATGGTTTTAGCTGTTCCTGCACTCATTCAGTATTGTTACCGCATAAAAGGGTAAAAGAAAGAATGCATGTGGAACAAATAATATACAATCACTGGGGAAGGTTCTTGAGTAGCATCAAGTTAAAAATCAGTATAATTCAGTATCCCAAAACAGAACAGGAATGGATTACTTGAGTTAATGTACAAATAACTACCCGAAGCTTCTCTTGAAAATCCTGAGTCGTGTGAGACAAACATTTTTTATCCTACCTCAGTTCAGCAATGAACATGCAACAGAAACTAATGAATGGACCCCTATATAGAACTAACAGCATCACAAGCAACAGCAGAAACCTTTTCCCATAGCCGGGGCATATATACTCCTGAACTGTGTTCTTGTTTTCCAGTTCATCTTTTAGCTTTTTCCTCATACGGTGAAGTCTGTACCTCACGTCATGTATCTGCAATATACATTTTAGTTTAGGTCTTCCACATTTACAAGAGCCTAAAAACTCTATATATATAATTTTGGCAACTTTACAACTTGGCAACTTTACAACTTAATTTACATTCTCTTACTTCAACTATTACATTTTGTAGGTCAAAGCTAGGATTGCGGGATTGCGGTTCTCGTTACTTTTTGTTGCTGTTATATTTTTTTATATGGCTCATGAAGAAGTTGCATATATGGAAGAGAGAGACTAAAACAGAGCAAGAAGATATGAATTTTTTTTTGGTCTTATTTTGGTTTAGTAAAGATACTAGGTGTGGATCATGTACTTTGAAATTTGTATATGGTTAATTTTTGTATAAAATGATGATTTGAAATTGGTTATATATATATATATATATATATATATATATATATATGATGTTATTGGGTAGTTGTAAGTTATTTTGGTTATAATACTATTTTTTATTTATTTAAGGTTTGGTTCTTGGTCCTTGCAAAGGCGTAGTAGTAGGGGGAAATAAACGCCTCATAGAGGTTACACTGTTTTTTTTAAAAACAATTATATAACACTTTCTACCACGGTTCTGGACCGTGCTCCAAAGTCTTTTTATCTACCACGGTGTAAAATCGTGGTAGAAAGTCTTCATTTACTACCACGGCTATTTCTACCACGGTTCAAAATCGTGATAGAAATTGTTTTTTACCGTGATAAAAAATTGTTTTTCTTTGTAGCACAGCTGTTAGCTTTCAAATTAGTGTTTTTGCTACTTGAATGTTTAGGATGTTATTTAATTATGGAACTTGAGAAATGGGCTAAAATACTTAGTCCATGTTGTTTTTCTTGGTCACCATCATCTTTTTATCTATTTCTATTTTTGGTAAATAGTTTTTCTCGTTTTCTTTAAGAACTTGTGAATACGCTTTTAATATGTTTTTTTTTTTTTTCTTTTTTTTTTTTTTTTCATTTTGCCTACAAAAAATAAAAAGGTGAATTATACTAATTTGAAATTTCGTTAACATGCACAGACCTCCCCTGAAATAAAAGCCTAGTGCTCTGGCCAAAAGGGATTATACCACTTGAATGATAGCCGTAGTGATTCTTCTGTTCTTTTCTTCATTAATTGTTAATTTCAATGACCTCTCTTGCATATTTCGTTAGGATCATTGACTGATATCATCAGTAAGGTAAAGGCCCACTTATTAATTACAACTCAGATTAGAAAGGCCTCGATCTCCCTAGAGAGAAGTTAGCGTGGATGTGAAGATTTTTATCTTTCTGCTAAATTATTGGACACTTTCTCTCACACGGGAAGAAATCATACATCCAAACCACTAGATCGTGTTATATCAAGACGTAAAATGAAACGGGTATATATATATATGAGTTGGGTGTAAGTTTCACCGTATCACTTGAGTTGTCATTAGTCTAATTCTTGTAGATTCAAGCTTAGGTTTAATTTTACTTCTTTTATAATAGCTAATGATTTTCTATATATTTTAAGTCAAATCCTATTATTTTTTAGGGCAAATTATAATGAACTCCTCAGGAATTTGGACTAATTGCAACTAACATGAGATTTGCTATTTTTTTACAATGTGTCCCTCCAAGTTTGCTATTTTTTGCAAAGACCTTTCCTATATACAAAATTCAATCATTTTTGTCATAAAATTTGATTGAAGTGACTAAAATACCCATCAACTAAGATTAAAAGACCATATCACCCTTATAATGTTATGAAATAACCCCAAAAAAAACCATATGTGGACCAAACTACCCCTTAATTAGGTTTTTTCATAATACTAAATTAATACATTTAAAAAAGAGGCCACCACCACTCCACCGGCGGCCACCATCACTGCCAAACAAACCCACAATGGCTGGTCTTATATAAATATATATATATATATATATATATATATCACCACCACCACCACTTCTACCACCATTATCACCAACCAATCGGACCCGCAACAAACCCAATTGAACCAAGAGGAACCCCAAGTCAAACCTGAAAGCTTCGTGATCGCCATCCATGGCTAGCTTCGGGATCAGCCACAACAACCAATCAAAGACCGATCAAAGGAAATTCATACATCGGCCTACACTGAATGGAAAAGCGATCGAAGGATGTAAATCATTAGTGGCGGCCAGAATTTGAGCAGCGTGGAGGTGGAATCGGTTCTGTATAAGCACCCCACGGTGAGTGAACGACGACTGCTTTTCTGGTGAAGTTAAAAGTATGGTGTCTTAGCTGGTGTTTGGGTTTCTGATTGAACCAAACACACACCCCTTGCCCAAACCCTAGAAAAAATTTCACAAATCAACGAGAAACACAAGTTTGGATTTTATTTTGTGAAGGGAAAACGGGTGCCGGCAAACAATCGCACCAAACCCAGTCCTCAATTGGCTACCACGGACGGCGGCCACTGATTCGAACACGTCTGGAGCTCCATTTTCGAGGGTTGAGAGAGTCACAACACCCATACTATGGACAAATTGAGATGGGTCGAGAGCTTAGTTACAGCAACAGAGAAATGGATCGAGAGAGAAGTAGTTGAGGTAGCCATTAAAGTCGCCGTGGTGGAGGAGAGAGAGAGCAGCGTCGGTGAGTTGTTTAGTTTGTACGATGGTGTGTTTTCAGTGAAATTCTTCAGTTTGAATTGGTGTCGACGGTGGTTGTGGGGGTGATGATAGTGGCGGTGGGTAGTGGGTGGTGGTGGTAGCGGGAAGGGGCGGGTTGACGAAGTGCAAGAATTGGGTTGAAGTGTAAGGGACAAATAGTCCTTCGACATTTTTAGATACTTTAATTATTTTTAACAAGTAAATTCATCACAAAATCTGACAGAATCTTTGTCAAAAAAACAAAAAAAATGACAAACGTCATATTTAATTGCATATAGTCCAAATTTTAGAAAGGTAATTGTAGTTTGTCCTAATTTTTAACTTCTTGGATTGTCATTAACTTAACTAATAATTAATATTCTTTCCATTTTAAATTATTTTATGAAAGTCCGTAACTAAAGTTTTGTCAAAAATGTAGAGACTCGAGACTTTTTTTTTTTTTTTTTCCTTCTCTGGACTCGAGAGTTAAGAAAGCCGTGAGTGAACACATATACACCCCTCCCCGGCTCCCCTCTCTCTCTCTCTCTCTCTCTCTCTGTAGTCTATACAAAGTGCAACTCTCTCCCTACCTCTACGAAATTGTAGTTATTTTCTTGTTTGGTTTTGGTTTAATTTCACGGATGTAAATGTACTTAGGTTTCTATAATTGTTAAATTTTAGAGATTTTATTTTTTTTATTTTGTCTTGAATAAAAATGGATTGGATTTGGCCATTTGGATTGTTGTTGGTGGACTTTATAGGATCGAAAAGTCTAATCTTGTTCCCAAATAAAGCAAAAAGAAATACTATTAAAAATGTTTAATTTCACGTATGTGAATTGTATCGTGTTTTTTATAATTGTTAATTTTGGATATCACATATTTGATTTTGTGTTGAATTGGAAGTGGGTCGGATTTGGCTATTTGGGTTGTTGGTTGACTTTTTAAGAAAAATGCCTAATCTTGCTTATAAATAAAGCCAAACAAATATTTTTTTGCATATTAAAAATGAATCAATTAAACATGTTCACCTAGTTAGAACCGGATCTCTATCCGTGAACAAATTTTAGATAATGTAAAAAGTTATATTTATGTTGTATGTACATAGAATTTGGGACCGAACATGGTGGTTGGATCAGAAAATTTTCATGCTCAAACACTATTGAAAATATAATTTATAAAAATAGAAGGAAGAAAAAAAAAAAAAATCAAGGAAGAACAAAGGCTAGTGGTGTTGAGAAGTGTCTTTTCATTTGGGTCTTGCATCGTTTCATATATGGAGTTAACTTTCTCTTAATGTCACATATCTCTCAATTAAACTCTCAATTCAGAAGGAATCAGGAGAAAGTTATTGAGCGTTTCATATATGGAAGATGTGTGGACCAAGGCTTTGGATTGGGCTAGATGGGTTTTGTTATGCTCTTTGGGTCGACCTGGTATTGGATATATTCCTTCTGGACTTTTAGTTGTTTGGTGCAACTTTGGACTCTTGACCCAATATATTTTAGCTGGCCTTTTTGTCTGGTTTGTTGACATGTGGCGCCTTGTGAGTGGTGGGAATGTTCAATCTTACCTATTCGATGCGGCTGAAAACACTCTTTGATTTTTTATTGTTTTGGGAGGAAAAATCTTACTAGGATCTAATATATATAATTATGTTGAACATATGTGTAGTTATTATTATAATCTACCATTTTCACGAACTAATTTTAGGCTTCGTTTGGATAAATTGGAGAGAAAAGAAAGAAAATGATTATTAGAGAAAAGAAAAGAAAAGTAAGAAAATGAAAGGATAGTTATAATTTATATTCATATTTAGATGATAGAAGGGAAAAGAAAGTAATTAATAATATTGTTATTAGGATAACACAAAGGAGAGAAAAGAAAGGAATTGACAATAATAAAATTACTATTTTACTCTTTTTGGTAAGGTTAGAAGGCAAAATCATTTCAGCCTCCTTCATCTCCCTATTCTCGATCTCACATATCTCATCTCCTCTTAAGTCAAAACCCATATCGGCTCTCTCTCTCTCCAACTGCCAACTACAAAATCTACCAAAATTAGAAAATCAAAACCCACGACTCTCTTTCTACAAATCTGCAAACTACAAAATCTGGTCAAAACCCATATCGGCTCTCTCTCTCTCTCCAACTGCCAACTGCAAAATCTACCAAAATTAGAAGATCAATTAAAACCCATATCGGCTCTCTCTCTCTCCAACTGCAAACTGCAAAATCTACCAAAATCAGGAGACGATCTCTACAACATGTGGTGAATTTTCAGACTATCTCTGCAACTTCCGGCGACTTTTCCGACGATCTCTGCAACTTCCGGCGACTTTCAGACGATTTCTGCAACTTCCGACGACTTTGTAGACGATTTCTGCAACTTCCGGCGACTTTTCCGACGATCTCTGCAACTTTCGGTGACTTTTCAGACGATTTCTGCAACTTCTGACGACTTTGTAGACGATTTCTGTAACTTCCGGTGACTTTTCCGTATGGGATACTTTTGTCATTAGCTTCCTTTCTCTCCAAATCTCTCCAAATTTTGTCAATTTTGGAGAGATTTGGTTTTACTGTATTGGAGGGATTTGGAGGGATAGCCTATCCCTCCAAATCCTTTCCAATCCTTTCTTTTCTCTTTTATTCCCTCTATCCAAACACACCTATCCCAATCTTTTCCTTTCTTTTCTCTCCAAATCCCTCTAAATCCCTCAATCCAAACGAGCCCTCAAGTGTTAACTAGCATTGTCAAAAGAATATATGAGGGCCCTTAT